AACCAGCCCAGCCTAGAAACACAGCCCACATCCCTTAATATTTCCCCATCAAAAACCACAAACTAATGTCACCCAACACCCCCACAAAATCCCTGATTCATCCCCCATGAAAGGACTCCATATTTGATTATTATTGTCAAAGATTTGTTAAGGAAAGAACTTGGTAGTTTCCCCTTTCTTGCTTGCTTATTTATATCGGCCATTGGCCATTGTTGTAACTCACTTTTGAATCTGAAATTTCCATCAGTAATACACTTATGTGTTTGCTATTTTAAACCCCTAATTCTATATCTTAAGGGTGGTTACCTTGAGTGTGAGTTTTAGGTTTTAGTTATTTAAATAAGTGTGTTATATCTTATTTGAATACTAGATTCAACCCCAAGTTAGGAGAAGAGTGTGTAATATCTCTTAACACCAACTTGGTTTATCCAACACTTATTTCTAGCCATTTCTAATCCCACCATTTCTCTCCTGATCCTCCTTTCTTTTCTCATATTAAAAACCATTAAAAAGAACTCTTTCACACTCCATTCATTTTGCCTCTTGCTTGCCTTCAACATATTATCACATTTCCTCTCCGAAAAACCACAACTCTGTTAAGACCCTTAGTTCGAGATATATCAAATGACAATGTCTTTTCATCATCTAGAGAAAATGAAAATGTGTATGCTTCAATGACAATGAGGATTGATTGCTAATTGCAGAAAGAAATGACACAAAAACATGACAAAAGTGTATCATATAGAATAAAAAGTCATACCTGAAGTTTTTTGAGATACTTATTAACCTTATCATATTGTTTCTCGATTTCTCCAACCTTTTCAGACCAAAAGAAGGGAAATTGTGAGAAAAGAAGAGCGTGATCATTGCAGTGCGATAGAATAAATGAAAGATGTACGACCAAAAGCAATGCATTCATGATATCAATAAGAAGAATTGTAAGTACCTGCTTATTAAAAGTATCCAAATTATCCAGGTGAAGTTCGTCCGAGTTCGTTGGTCTATGAATTCCAAGTTCAATATCTCCATTCTCAACTATAGGATCGCTACGGTTCTCAAACGAACCCTAGAGAAGAAATTAAGGAGTGTAAGGGAAATGGTAACTCTAAAAGGATTCCATTTGTGGAATAAAAGGTAGGAAATGAGATATAGTAATCCATTTTCACTTCTTTTTGTTTTGGATAAACATATTATTCTTCATGTTCTTTCGGTGACGCATTCAGGAGACCTCTTCCAATCACAACTCATAAAAAACACGTACCATCAAGGAAAATAATACTCCCTCCGTTCATGAGTATTTGTCTAATTTTGACTTTTTCAGTCAAAATTGGTAAACTTTGACCTTAAATTAAATAAAAATGATATTAGATATTGATACAAAAATAGTTTCATCAGATTTATTATATAAAATATTTTCAAAATATTATTTTATCTAATTAATATACTCCCTCCGTCCCCCATAGATCTTCCCATTATTCCTTTTTATTTGTCCACTATAGATCTTCTCATTACCTTTTTTAACCATTAAAATACCACAACTACCCTCACTTACTTTATTTATTACATCTCACCCACCTCATTTAATACACTCACCCATTTTCATTAAGGGTATTATGGTAAACTTTCACCTTTTTTCAACTCTCCTTAAAAATCACAAAAAGTCAAAATGAGAAGATCTTAGGTGGACGGAGGGAGTACAAAATATAAGTCAAAACTGGACAAATACTCAGGGACGGAAGTAGTATAAAAATACAGGTTAATTTGGTAAAATTTGTGATATGGAGATGGATAACTTGGAGCATTCAAGAATGAGCCACCCCATCCTTAAGGACTAGAATTGTATATAAATAATCACATCCATATGAAGGGATTCCAAACATGTAAATTTGAACTTTAGAATATATTTTAGAGATTGTTGATGAGATCAAAACTCTATTAGATTTGCAAAATATAAAGTGAATATAAGCAGAGCCTATGATAAAGGTAAAGAAGCATTAAGCCATTAACTCTGACAATTTGAAGTACATATGGTAGAACAAGGTTTCAAACGAACAATTTCTTACTACGAAGTTCTGCATTTTTACTGTCGTGCTAGAAACTCAGGTGTTCTGGAGATGGTCTTTCTGGCTTTCTGCGTTCTCTAGGTAGGGACATAGGGTAAGGGTTGTGTAGACCTAGACCTCACAAAATAGTTTGGTGGTGGTTGTACATTTTTTACTGTACAAGAGTATCTTCTTCTTCCCAAACAAATTATCTAAACTCGATCAGCTTAGAGGCCTGGGAAAACAACGAAGCAGAAATGCTCCTGAGAGATTATGCATCCATTGGATATTAGCTTTAATGTTTAGCATTAGCCTTTTACAAATATTATCCAATGGTAGACCTTAGTTTTAACAATTATAAAGTTAGTGTGCACAATTAAAAATGTATTCAAAACTCTAGCACTAATTACAAATGTAGTTCCCAAAAGGAGCCTTATAAACATATATTCATCTGCTTTGCTTTCCTCTCTCATCTATCCATCCTCATCAAAAACTACTCTGATCTAGCACTAAGATGACACGTCCAGATTGCACCTTTTATTTTTTCCTTTCGCGAAGAAAAAACATTTACAACCCACCTAAATCAAGCAATGAATTGTACCAATAAACTAAATAATTCATGAATACACCGCCAAGGATAAATATACTCCGTAATTACGAGTGCATTTACGCGTTAAATCAAGTATAGTGATGATGAACTTTACTAATTACATCAATCAATCAAATCACAAGACATCAACAATCACTTTCTAAATGATAAACATGGAAGCTGATTTTGCATCTGAGATTAATAAAACCCCGAAAGAGTTTTTTTTTTTTTATTTCTCGCGTTTCATCCATTATTGATCCCATCAAAGGACAAAAAAGCTAATGCGGATGTTCATGTAATTTCCAGAACTGTAAGAATTCAGAAACGTACCGATAAAAGATCGTTCATGTTGGAAGAGGATAAGGAACTTGATTCGGCTCGATGCAGTGCTATCCCCCGCTAGACCTCTCTTTCGTATATGGGACGAAAGAAAATAGGTTTTCCTGTTGGAACAGGAAAGGGGATTCACAGGCAATGGTGAGTGAAGAGTGAGAGCATTGGCAATGGTGCAAAAATGAAAGCAAAAATGAAATGCCAAACATGGATTATTTGAACCAATAAAAAATAACTTAGTCATTCGTGTGGCAAATGAGTAGAGTGTCGTAAAATATAATGTCAAGTCATTTTTTTGTCTATTTTTGCACTTTTTAATCATTTTTAATTACCAAAAATTATTTTACACATCTATTTTATTATTAAAATATGTCTACTTCTTTTAAAAAATATTTTTTTCCAAAAAATTAAAAATATTAAAAATATTTAAAAGAATAAAAAATGAGATAGTCATGCCTTGCACATCACTCTATTCTTAAAAGCAGGGAAATTATTTTCCCGCCCAATGCACTCATCTCCTGCACCGTCGATATCAAGGAACAAACAAAATCTACGGCTATGATTGGTTGTGTAATATTGCCTATTTAGAATGATAAATTAAAGGAAATTTTGCATGCATAATCACTCTATTCTGATAAAAAAGGAAGGGAGTAATTTGTTTCCTAACTAATTTTGCCTAATTACTTGATTGTGATAAAAAAGGAAAGGACGGTGCACGAGATTTTTTATATTTTGTTTCCTTTTTAAATAGGTAAATATTTACGTCTAATTATTACTATTATTATTATAATTACTTGGAATAATTTACGCCTGATTATTTTTTCAAAAAGTAACTATTTATGCCTAATTAAATAGGTAATTATTTACTTAATCACTCTATTCTTAAAAGGAAATACTTTTAAGAATAATAGAATGATAAATTAAAGGAAATTTCACATGCATAATTACTTAATTACTTAATTCTGATTACTCTACGTTTATTAGATTTGGGTGCAAGTGTTAATTTATTGCCTTATCACGTTTATTTGCAATTGGGTTTAGGGGAGCTTAAATCTACTAGGATGACACTTCAATTTGCAGATAGATCTGTAAAACTTCCTAGGGGAATAATTGAGGATGTTTTGATAAAAGTAGAGAATTTTTATTTTCCTATTGATTTTGTTGTTCTAGAAACTAAGCCTGTGCAAGATTCTTCCACACAAACACAAATTATTTTAGGCCGCCCATTCCTTGCTACAACCAATGCCTTAGTCAATTGTAGGAATGATCTTATGAAACTTTCTTTTGGCAATATGAATGTGGAATTGAATATTTTTCATGTGACTAAGCAAATGCATGATGATAATGATGGTATGTGAATTAAATGCGCTAGACACTCTTATTAATGATACTTTTCATCACTCAAGTAGTGATTATCCACTAGAAACATGTTTAGTTAATTTTGGAACTGATTTTGACATGGATGATTCAGTTGCTGAGATAAATCACTTGCTTGATTCCACACCTATTTTGAATGAGGATAAGTGGAAGCCTAAACCTTTGAGACTCTCATTGTCTTCCTCTCCCTTACTACCTTCTTCTGTGGTACCTCCTAAATTAGAATTAAAACCATTGCTTAATACTTTTAAGTATGTTTTCCTAGGAGATAATGATACATTGTCTGTTGTGATAGCTTCTGATCTAAATAAATCTCAAGAGTCACGATTAGTGAGTGTGTTGAAGAAACATATGGAAGCTATAGGTTGGTCAATTGCTGATATTAAGGGTATTAGTCCCTCGGTTGTCTTACATAGAATTCATTTAGAGGATAATGCCAAGCCAATACGTGAGCCACAAAGAAGATTGAATCCTACTATGCAAGAGGTAGATAGGAGTGAGGTGATAAAATTATTGGATGCGAGAATTGTTTATTCTATTTCTGATAGTAATTGGGTAAGTCCTGTCCAAGTTGTGCCTAAAAAATCAGGAATAACTGTAGTGAAAAATGAGAACGGCGAGTTAGTTCCAACTAGAGTTCAAACAAGATGGAGAATGTGTATTGATTATCGTAAGTTAAATTCTGCAACTAGGAAAGATCACTTCCCTCTCCCTTTTATTGATCAAATGTTGGAAAAATTAGCTGGTCATGAATATTATTGTTTTCTTGATGGTTATTCTGGCTATTTTCAAATCCCCATTGCCCCTGAGGATCAAGAAAAAACCACATTCACATGCCTGTTTGGTACGTTTGCATATGCCGTTTACCTTTTGGGTTATGCAATGCCCCTGCTGCTTTTCAAAGATGTATGGTGAGTATTTTTTTGATATGATAGGTGAATTCCTTGAGGTATTTATGGATGATTTTTCTGTCTTTGGCTCTTCTTTTGATAGATGTTTAGAAAATTTATCTTTTGTTTTAGAAAGATGCAAAGAGAAAAGTCTTGTTTTAAATTGGGAAAAATTTCATTTTATGGTTAAAAGAGGCATTGTTCTTGGTCATGTTATCTCTAAAGATGGAATTGAGGTAGATAAAGCAAAAGTTGATTTAATTTCTAATCTTCCACCTCCAAAGAATGTCAAGGGAATTAGATCATTTTTGGGCCACGCAGGTTTTCACAGGAGATTTACAAAAGATTTACAGAAGCCATCTAGGGTTATCCGTCGTTGCGTCACCGATGTTCAGCCCCTCTTCGCCATCTCCAATGTTCAGCGCCCTCCTCAGCTCATCATCGCTGCCTCACCTTCGCATATCCCCCTCGTTCCCAGCAGCTCCGTTGCGCAAGATGGGGAAGCCACCACCCCTGTCGCCTCTCACTTTCATCGTCGTGCAACTATGACCTCCGCACAGCCCTTCACCACCAAATCCTCTACCGCTTCCAAGCCATCTGCGTGCCCTCCCCACTGCCTAGGCCAGCATCCATCCTACCAGTGCCGCCGCCCTCTCAGTCACGACTTCACTGGCCGGCTTCCACCTTCTTGTTGTCGCCCCTTCACCGGCCCTAAGGTTTTTTTTCATTTTTTCATTTAAAATTGAAAATTATAAGTTTAATTATTGCATTTGTTTTGTGAATTAGTTGAATGTTCTTCACAACTTTCAAGCATCTTTACTTAATTAATTAATTAATAGTATTCATTCTAAGTCCTGTGTATGTATGTAACCTACCATATTTGTTGTTCAATTGCAATTTTTATCAAATTAAGTGTTATGGATCTATTTTTGTAAAACTGATAGCATAGCGAAGTGTTTACATGTTGTTTTTTGAGAGTTTTATATGTTGAATTTATCAACATCTTGATGTGAGTGGTGGTTGAATTCGAAAAACTTGCTTTATATGCAACATTGATTAAGAAACCTGACTTTGAAATCTGATTCCAAACGGAACTTTGCACATAAAGTCTGTTTTTTGTTTTTTAATTGAGCACCAGGTGTAGAACTAAAAGACAATGTTGAAATCTTTGTGGTTATCTTATTTTCCACTTCATCATATGTTGCATTGTCTCTTGAGCTTAATTGATTAATTTTACACCATTTATGCTTTTAACCATCTATTTAAGAGTTTTTGAGTCTATGTAGAAATGAATTTGTTTGAAGTAAATATCTACACATACAAGATGCAAAAGCTGATCTGAAGCAGCATTTCCAAGTACCAGGCAATGGGTGTTTTGTCATTTTCAGTTTCTTTAGCCTATGCAGTTCAAATATTATCTTTTTTTGGGCTGTAAACTAAAAAACCTGGATAATTTTGAATCTGATTCTTATTTTTATTTGGTTAAAAAAACTTGGTCTTAGTTTTGTTTTGCAGATTTCAGGTTCCAAAAAGCACATAACGGAGAAATGACAGGTTCTAAACATTGTTAGATAGTGAAGTAACAAACAAGTAGGTAAAAAATTTGGGGTGGATTTATAATCAAATACTTCATTTGTGGAAATAAGTTAAATAGAATAAATGTACTTTGTATGAAAAAAATAATATAATCACTTCAAATTTATGATGAATATACATGCTATTTTGGCTGAATTATCTTGTTTTGCACTTCATCATAGTTGGCTGATGATTATTTATAATTGTAGGATCGATTCGTTGCGCTTTGTGAATTGACATTATGTGAAGAAAGAGCCCAATGTCGTGATGAGCAAACATGGTATTTGCTATACCTAGTGGATGGACATAATATAAAGAATTGTGTGCCACGAGAAAATAACTATCAGCATGAGATGAGAACCTGATATTTGTTAGAGTTTTTGATTTAAAACAAAATTGTTTAACTAGGATTTTTTTTGTATACATTACACTATGTATATTGTAAGGATTGTATTTGTTTAAAATTAATATGACATTGTGGTGTTTCCTATTGTTTGATGTTTAATTAATTATTTTAATTTGTTGTATTGTAAATCTCGCTCCTGTTTATCATTCGTCCACAACAACATTACAAAAATAATTGAAAAGAGAAGTGACTTATCAGAAAAATAGAAAAATTTAGTGTTTGGATGCAAGAAATTTGCCACAAATCTGCTACGGACAATCACTTTATTGCAGATTTGATTGAAATGCTGCAGAATAATTCTATTGCAGATTTTGTCGCAAATCTGCGACGGACTCTAAGTCCGTAGCTGTTCCATCGCAGATTTGATGATTTATTTACCGCGTGAATAGCGTCGCAGCTCTGTCGCTGATTTGCGAGAGACGTATTTTTCCGTCGCAGGTATTCAATTTGCGACAACTGTTTTGCGACGGACTGGGTCTGTTGCAGATCCGTCGCAGATTCTCTATCTGCTACAGATTTTTCAAATCTGCGACAGAATTTGTCCGTTGCAGATTTGTCAAATTCTTGTAGTGTATGTAATCTTTTAAGAAAGGATATTCCTTTTATATTTGATGATGCATGTCTACAAGCTTTCAATATGTTAAAAAAGGAGTTAACATCTGCTCTTATTATTCAACCATCGGATTGGTCTATACCTTTTGAGATTATCTGTGATGCTTCTGAGTATGCTATTGGAGCTGTTTTAGGCCAAAGAATTAATAAGTTACCTCATGTAATTTGTTATGCTAGTAGAACACTCAATGATGCACAATTGAATTATTCCACTAATGAGAAAGAGATGTTAGCTGTTGTATTTGCTTTGGAAAAAATTAGGTCATAGATTTTGGGGTCTAAAGTTATTGTTTTTTCTGATCATTCTGCATTAAAGTACTTGATGTCGAAAAAAGATAATAAGTCTAGGCTCATAAGATGGATTCTCCTTATACAAGAGTTTGATTTAGAAATTAGAGTCAAAAAGGGCTCTGAAAATGTAGTAGTTGATCACTTGTCTAGATTGATTATTGACACTGATGATACTGATCTACCTATTCTTGAGTCTTTTCCTGATGAGCAATTAATGCAAGTTTCTAGAACTCCCTGGTTTGCTGATATTGTGAATTATTTAGTTACAAAGCAATTACCTACAAATTGGAGCAAGCAAGATAAGTTTAAGTTCTTGTCTGAGGTAAAACATTTCTTTTGGGATGATCCCTACCTATTCAAGTATTGCTCTGACCAGAACATAAGAAGGTGTGTTCCTGAATGTGATCAACAAAGTATTATTTCTTTTTGTCATGATCATGCGTGTGGTGGTCATTTTAGTGCTAAAAAAACAACTTACAAAATTCTACAATGTGGTTTTTAGTGGCCTACAATTTTTCGTGATTGCCATACATATTGTTCATCGTGTGATAGATGCCAAAGATTAGGTGCCATTAATAAGAAAAATATGATGCCCTTAAATCGAATTTTAATTATAGATATTTTTGATGTCTGGGGCATAGACTTTATGGGACCATTTCCTAATTCTTTTGGTAATCTTTACATTTTTGTTGGGGTTGATTATGTATCCAAGTGGGTGAAGCTAAAGCATGCAAGGATAATGATCATAAAACTGTTGTTAAATTTTTAAAAGAAAATATTTTTGCGTGCTTTGGTACTCCATGAGCTATTATCAGGGATGGGGGTAAACATTTTTGTAATAGACTTATTGAGTACTTGATGAAAAGATATGGTGTTCTGCATAAAATTTCTACCCCTTATCATCCCCAAACTAGTGGTCAAGTTGAGATTTCTAATAGGGAAATTAAAAGAATTTTGGAAAAGACAGTTACTTCCTCGAGAAAAGATTGGTCTTTGAAATTAGATGATGCATTATGGGCATATCGTACTGCTTTTAAAACTCCCATTGGCATGTCTCCTTATCGTTTGGTTTATGGAAAAACATGTCATCTTCCTGTTGAATTAGAGCATAAAACATATTGGGCTATTAAAACTTTAAATTTTGATTTGGAGCAAGCCGGTGTTGAGAGGAAATTAAAACTTAATGAACTAGAAGAGATTAGAAGTGATGCTTATGATTGTGCTAAATCTTACAAAGAAAGAATGAAAAGAGTGCATGATCAGAATATTCTGAGAAAATCTTTTGAGCCTGGCCAGAAAGTCTTACTTTATAACACTCGTCTGCATTTGTTTCCTGGTAAGTTGAGATCTCGGTGTTCAGGTCTTTTCATTGTTCAGACTGTTTATTCCCATGGGGCTCTTGAAATTGAAAACCCAAAGGATGGTGTTGTTTTTAAGGTAAATGGCCAACAATGGAAACCCTTTCATGAGCTAAAATCTCTAGAGGTCGAGGAGATCACAATTGAAGATCCTGTTTACTAGGACTAATTTATTTATATTATTAACTATTTGTTTTTTCTTAATCTTAGTGAGTCGGCTTAAGTGTCTCTCAGAGTTCGGTGCCTTTGTATGGGGATGTATATAGTGTCGGCCAAAAAAAAAGAAAAAAACACTCTTAATTGCCCTAGTTATTTGTTCCTTTTATTTTTTTTCCTTGTCATTTGTTTATCAGGTGGAGAAGAAAACTTATCGAAGAGCTGCATGAAGTCGAGCCAATGACAGTAAACAAAGGCGCTTAGTGGGAGGCAATCCAGTATTTTCCAGGGAAGTTATTTTGCTTAATATTTTTTTGAGCTGTTGATGTTTTCGTCCATTAATCTCATTACATGCTCCCCATTTTTAATAGCTTTAGCTAGTATGTGCAAACGTCCATTTTTTTATAACGTTGACATGCATTGAGGACATTGCATGAATTAAGTGTGGGGGGACACTTACATTTAGTTGTGCATTTTTTTGGAATATACCTGTTAAAATATATTTACATGTTTTTACTATACATACTAGATATTAGAGGAGCATGAGTTGGGTAGAATTTTTTTTATTCTGCATAATAGATGCAATTTGGTTAAAAATATTCAAAAAATTTTATATTTTTAGAGAAAATTATAATAGTCGAAAGCGTGTTTCAAAAACATACTTATTAGAATTCATAATAATTACTTCTTAATCTTTTAGCACTATAAGTGTTTGTATTTTTGCATTAAATGGAAATTAATATTATAACAAATATGTTTGAGCTTCTTAAAAAAATAAGTTTGCTACTCTAAAGTTTAAAACATATCTTTTAAATCAAATCTATTTAGAACTTATGTTTATTTAATCTCTTACCTTTTATTTAGTTAAGTTCAATGTGCCTAATTTATTTAGAAGTATATGAAGCAGTTTTCTAACTCTTTTTCATCCTAAGTTTCTATTCAAGTAAAGTTAGTCTTAAGAAAATCTTTTTTTTTTCTTCTCTAAATTTTGGTTAATTACATATTATCAAGATGCTGAAATGAATATAATATATATACTGGAACACCATCTTAGGTTGGAATGGGTGGCACGACACATTTGATCCCTTTAGCAACGAATCCCAAAAGAAAGTGATGTTGTGTATGGAAAAAACCTAAATTGGAAGAGCAAACCCCGTTTTGGGCAGTAAGAATTTCGTCCATAACCAGTTTAAAATAATAAGAAAAAAATCGACGCCATTGAGCCAAAAAAGTGCAATAAATGGCTAGGTAAAAAAGGTAAAATAATATAAAATAAATGATTAAAATATTGTTTGAGCACTTGAGTTGAAACCCCCGGAATACTTCGTTTATTTAGGTCCTGGGCTATCTGGAATGGGCCTGGGGTAGCCTGGTTGAGACTCGCTACACGGGTCAACTCAAACAATAAAAAAATCAAATATTGAATGAAAGCAACAAATTGAAGTTTCCAGATTTTAGAAAAGAAAATAAATTTTCTTGAGCATTTCCTTACTTGATGGTTCCTTAGGATTTCTAACCACTTTTTTCTACTCTATGTATTTCTTTTAAATTATTCTCAATGACCTTAATCAATTCAATGTTTTGACATTGAATAAAAGTAATTTCTACTTAGCTTTGAAGTGAAAGAATTGTATAAAATTTAAAGTAGCAAATTGATTTTTAAAGTGTTCATTCTATTTGGTATATGATTAATTTCTGATTAATGTTCAAATACATCACTTTATATTGTTATAAGATAGAGAAGTTATTTTGAGTTCTAATGTAAAAAGAGAGAGTTTTTAAATTTTGGTATTTACTTTGCCCGAGGACGTACAAAGGACTAAGTGTGGGGGTATTTGATACGTTACAAATTGTCACGTTTTATTTGGTCATACTTTAGTTCTTTATTATATTTTTAATGCATTTTATGTTAAAATAAAGTGTATAATGAAATATTTGGCTCTTAAGGCTACTTGTTATATTTTTACACTAAAATCATAAATTGGGTAAAGTTTTTATTTTATTTCGTGTTGAAATTAATTTCTCTCATATTTATTTTCAGAATATACTATTTTGAATAAAAAATAGATGTCAAATTAAAGAGATGAAGAATTGGGCCAAGCTTTAATGGAATTGAAGATTTAAAGTGCAACTGCAAGTTTTTAATCCAATTGTTATACAAATCCTATTCAAACCCAACCCACATTAAACCTACAAAAAAAGAGAAACATGATGGGGATAAAGAGGGAGGAGCCGCATCAATTGTTATACAAATCTTTAGTTTTTGTTTAATTTAAGATTTCTTTAAAATCATTCACTTTCACATTTAGTTGTTTTTAAATATTAAATTTTGTCCAACTAGATTAGAAATATTCAACTGAATCTAGAATAAAAATTTTCACATATTCAAGTCTCTGTGGGATCGACCTCGTATTTGCCTTGCTATACTTTCGTACGGTTCGTGCACTTGCGAGTAAATAAAATATCACAACAGATATATTTTGGAGCATTTTGGAGCTCAAAGTTGAGGAAAATAACAATGCTAGACTTTTAGAGCTTTGACACCACAATTGAAGAAATGAAGAGAGTTTGGGCCCAAGATTAGATTTGATCCAATTTCAATTCAATTTGCATTTGAAAGTCTCCACCCATTAGAACTCAAAATTTAATAAATGACAAAAGAAAGAAAAAGAATAAGGGGCTGTTTGGCAACTTCTGAATAGGTAAGTGCTGAACCAGTAAGAGGTCTGAACCATTAAGTGCTGAATCAGTAAGAGGTCTGAACCATTAAGAGCTAGTATATTGCTTAACTATTCAGAGGCAAATGTCTGATCAATTCTGATAAGAGGTCTTAACCATTCAGACTCTGTATAATACTTAACCATTCAGAGGCAAATCTCTTAACCATTCAGACATCTGAACCATTAAGAGGCTGAAACAAATAGTCTGAACCATTAAGTGCTGACCATTCAGACATCTAAACCATTAAGAGGCTGAAACAAACGGCCCCTAAAAGAATGGAATGCCCCGTAGATAGAAACGGAAAAAGAAAAAAAGCCCAAGAAGTCATTTGGAAGGCAAAGTCTTTTCAAGTATAAATTGAAGGAAAACAGAGAGATAATGGGAGACGGACAGAGACGAGAGCCAGATCGGAATAGACGAAGAGCCGGCCTAGGGTTTCAACCCTAGGTCCGGCGCGGCGATGACTCACGGCAGCGACAATTGGATTCCGGCGAAGACTAGCGGCAGCAGCTGGAGCAATGGCTGGCGTCTAATCTGATGAAGAAGCTTGGACGACTCTGGCCTCTGTGCACGGCTTGACGAAGGAAAAACAGAGGGGAGTATTTGTATTTTCTTCCATTAATTGTTTTCATTTTTATTTAGGATTTTGAATTGGGCAATGTTACATTCACAAACAGAAGGATCACAAACTTCACAAACTTACTATTTATGGTTTAAATTTTCATTTTAAAATTATTTTAGACTATTTAATTTTCTTTATTGAAGTTCACAAATGGCAAGTTTGTAAAGTTTGTGAAGTTTGAGTTTGTGAACCAAGCATTTCCCTTTTGAATTTCTAAACTTCCCAACTTTTGAATTTGATTTCCAATATTATATATGTTTAATTTACTTATATTTTCAACTCTGGTTTTGTTTTGAATATTTAAGTTATATTATAAGTGTTGAATTTTTTGTGTTGGTGTTGAATTGTTCAAATTTGATTTAGTGATTGATTATTGTCTCTGGAATTATGAAACTTCCGTAGGCCGGATTGCTTGACAAAAATGATTTAATCTTTGGTTTGATTATTCTTGTTATATAATATGGCTTTGAAGTATTAGCCTTTGTGCTACTGTTAAATGTAAACTCAAAAGGGTATTTGAACTGGTCTTTGTTTAAACTTGGATTAGATCAATTTAGGACGACCGCCTAAACTCTAAATCCAATTGACAATTTTAAGATCTTGAGTACGTTTATAGCTAAGATTTTCAAAACACAAGTGTCACCTCGTTAATACTTAATTGGCTCCCACCCAGTTTTTATTAATCAGAGTTTTCAAACTGGCTATGTTAAATAGATATAGTCCACTGCATAGTTGTTAAGTGATGTTTTCTAAAGAACTTAATGCTCTATTTTTAATTAAATTTGGGGCTGGTCCTTGGGTTGTTAAGAATAGTAGGGTCTAGAGTTAGGGTATGTCTTAACATAGGCTATTTTATGGAGAATAAGGAAGAACCGCAGGTGGATCTCTTCTTCAGCTTAACCTGAGTTTAATTAGCAGTTTAGTGTCAAGATTAAGACATAATTAATATTGAATCATAAAGGCGGTTAAAAGTTAAGGAAATAATAAATTAATTTGTAGGTTCTATGACACACCTAACACCAACCCCGAATTAGGGCATCGATTGATACCATTCAGCATTGTTTGCGGAGGAGGCGATGGTTGTGCTGTCGATGAAACCCTTGAGATTCAAGCGGAGGATCAAGAGACGAATAATCGACTCTATTTTTTGTAATTTTTTCTGAGAGACTGAGTTGTACAGGGATATGGAGTTTGATATTGGATGTGGTGGTGAAGGATAGATGGGGTGAATTATTCGGAGAGGAGATTTCGTTATTGGAGGTGACCTTGCCAGAGGAGGAGTCGGCCATGGTTGCCAGAGGAGGAGAGAAGCCGGCGGTAGGGGGGGCTGGCCGAATTTCCGGAAGGAGAGGAGGAGAGGGAAGCTGTGAAAAATTAGGTCTTCGAATTGCCTCATGAAAATGGTCATATGCAACTTCTCAAGTAGATTTAGTCCTTTTAGAGTTGTGTAGAAGATGAGACTGTCGAGAAGAATGCTAGCCTCCTCAACACTCAAAGGTTGCTTTCTACAAAGAGCATCTAAAAATCTTTTGAGTTCTTCAACTCTGCTAATTCGGTAGCCCGGGATCTCTAGGACCCTCACCACAAGTCTTTTTAGATCTTTCAAGTCCCTTGCCATGAGAGATTGCATTGAATTGCTTCCATCGTCCTAACAAACAACACTTCCCATTTTCGCTATCATATTGGGAGTGATGAAGATTCCTTCTGATACATTGAGATGCGGAATGCCATGGGCATATAAGAGTCTCATCCCTTCTAAGATTTGCCTCATAAAAAGATACAAGTCATCTCGTATGATGCTAAACCAGTGGTGGAATGTCCTAGGCTTGGTCTCTTCACACTTGCGTGTGAAATGTTCGAAAAAAGAGCAAACGATAGGCTCAACTCCTCTCACAAGCCTTTGCTCATCTTCAAAGTAAACTTGAAAGAGTTTGTTATTGGGAGCGACTGGGGGAAGATTTGCGTTCCAATTCTTCCACGTTTCATGTTTTAAAATGGAAACATGAATGCCCTTCTCATGAGCGCTGCTCGAGAAGGTTGGATTGTTGTCGTTGCTGTATGAGAACACAACGTCGCAGGTAAACTTGTCGTTGGATTCCAGCTTCCATGCCGGAATCCTTAGCGGCAAAATGTGGTTGTATAGGCTGCATTGTGTCGTCTTCCTAGCTAGGTTGATGGCGCTGGTAATCATCCTCATGGCCTCTCTGTCTCGAATTGCCACTTTGTTTGCTTCAATCTGTTCTTCATGAAACGGGGTGTAGTCACAGCAGTAGGGTGGTTCGTACCAGGAGCCTTCAGCAAACAGAACTTCGTCGAAATAGAAAATCTTCACTTGGTTTTACTTGGTTTTAGTACATAGGCCCATATTGGTCGTAGTCATCTTGATCTCCATGAAGTTCATAATAATTATCCCCATATGTGTCTTGGTGTGGAGAATATTGAAAGTTTCGAGACGGGGTATCATATGGTGGTTCCTCATGGTAGGGATAGTAGTCAGACCCATTGTTGACTTGGTAGTCATCATCATATGGGTTCTGATGTGGGTGGTAAGGTGGATGGGTTTGAAACGGAAGGCGGTTGGGTGATTGGTAGAAAGATGGCAGGCTGTATTAACCACTGGAGTTATCCATAATAATTATTACGGGTGGTTGGTGAAAAAGAAGTGAGAAGATCGTTCTAACCAATCTTCACCCAAGCTAATTAGAAGAAATTAAACTAATGTCGTGCCACTCCCTGGCAACGGCGCCAGGTCACCCGAGGAGAAAGTTGACGTGCGCTAGAGACGTGCACGATTAATTTAGAGGAGAAACAAAAAGAATGAAGTGTTGTTAGGGGTACTTGTTAACTGAAGATATGCCTACTGAGCAAGTTGATGTGGCAATCTCATCTTAAATCAAGAAGCGGCGGTGATGGATCTAGAAACAGACGGTTGTGGTTGGCTGAGAATATATTTTTTAGCTAGATGGAATTATGAAATAATTAGGATCAAAGGAAGAATAATCTAAGTAAAAGTGGGGTCGCTGTCGCCAGACAAACCACCAGCGGCGGCGGCGGCGGAAGAAAAAACTATTAGGTCACCAAGAGCAAAAACTATTGCCCGAGAACTTGCCTTCTCCGTCTGGAACGCCGCAGAGATAGGAGTTTACGTGCAGAGAATGGCCTGTGGGGTTTTCAAATTTCAAACTGTCTTGAGAACATGGCTTCTCTGTCTGGAACGCAGAGAGGCCATGAGGATGATTACCAGTGCCATCAACCTAGCTAGGAAGATGACACAACGCAGCCCATACAACCACATTTTGCCGCTGAGGATTCCGGCATAGATGCCAGAATCCAACGGCAAGTTTACCTGCGACGTTGTGTTCTCATACAGCAACGACAACAATCCAACCTTCTTGAGCAGCGCCCATGAGAAGGGCATTCATGTTTCCATTTTAAGGCATGAAACGTGGAAGAATTGGAACGCAAATATGTCCCCAGTCGCTCCCAATAACAAACTCCTTCAAGTTTACTTTGAAGATGAGCAGAGGCTTGTGAGAGGGGTTGAGCCTATCGTTTGCTCTTTTTTCGAACACTTTACACGCAAGTGTGAAGAGACCAAGCCTAGGACATTCCACCACTGGTTTAGCATCATGCGAGATGACTTGTATCTTTTCATGAGGCAAATCTTAGAAGGGATGAGACTCTTATATGCCCATGGCATTCCGCATCTCAATGTATCAGAAGGAATCTTCATCACTCCCAATATGATAGCGAAAATGGGAAGTGTTGTTTGTGAAGACGATGGAAGCAATTCAATGCAATCTCTCATAGCAAGGGGCTTGAAAGATCTAGAAAGACTTGTGGTAAGGGTCCTAGAGATCCCGGGATACCGAATTAGTGGAGTTGAAGAACTCGAAAGATTTTTAGATGCTCTTTGTAGAAAGCAACCTTTGAGAGTTGAGGAGACTAGCATTCTTCTCGACAGTCCCATCTTCTACACAACTCTAGAAGGACTAAATCTACTTGAGAAGTTGCATATGACCATTTTTTATAAGAAATTGTATGAGCCAACAGAAATTCAGAACGCTATCAATACCTTGCATGCCACGGATGATTGTTGTGAAATGCTCTTGGATTGGCCTACAAGGGAAGATTTTGTACTTACAAGAGCTTTAGGGATGAATTTGGAGATATCGTGGGTGAGCTAGGGGGAGTGTTGGTTTACATGCTAAACAAGGACCCAACTTTTGATCCCCATGAAATCCATACCATCAAGATGTTCTTTGATTCCTCCGTGACGAGAAACGATGATGTGGAGGTGTCCTCAATTGTCAATTTCTAATGCAAAGGATGGAAAAAAAAGCTACACGTGCATCTCAACCTGCAGGAACATCAACGTGAGAAAAAAGGTGACGCGACATACTCCATCGGCGATCTCCAATTTCCGGCCACCATGGTCGTCGACCGGCCACCGGATCCACCCCATCAACCTCTTGACCCTCCGGCGATCAGTTTGGTACCTCATACGTCCACAGTTGCTGCCGGAAACCTCCTCAACGCAGAATCCCAGCCCCATGCCGCCGCACCATTTTTTCCGGCAGTGGCAGCCCATGGTGGCGCTCCACTGTACTCCCAAGCTCCTCTCCACCTTCTTGCGACTTCAACGCACCCTTTTGCAGCCTCATCCGCTGCGGGAGTGGAGAGCTTCATGCCTGCGATCATGTCGGGTTTCACAGTCGGGTTGCCTCCCTCCTCTCTTCTACCCGGACCTTCCAACGTCGCGCAGCCCTCACAGGCGCTTCTCCAGGTCCTTACGAGTGCAGTGAGCCACTCTCCATCAACTTTGGTGATTGGAGGTTCAGGGCACAATTTTGAAGCCCACACAACGGCAATAATGGCAGCCCAAATCCCTCGTTCTTTTTCTCCAACTGTGCAATCTCTCCCAGGTGTTTCACCCACCCCTGGGCCTGCAATGGTGTCATTGCAACACCCTATGAACGTTGGCGTTGATGCAGTAGCTCCCAAGGATCAGATTTCCACTTGCGCACCAGGTGTTTGTGGAAATGTCTCAATGAATCTCCTTCTCCTTCGCCTGATTTTCTCAAGGTTAAGGTTCCCCTCATTGCTTTGAATCATTTTAATTGGCAAGACATCCCTGGTGTTGTGTTGAAAGGCTTGGTAGACTCTGAGCATGCCATAATGCATGTCCCTATTCCCTCGCTTTCTCACTACCAACGTCTTAATGTCCCGGGGGTTGTCCCTCTTGCTTTAGTTGGACCAAATGGATGTGCCTACGGTGAGTACCCAGATGGGGAGGTGCTTTGGCCCATTGCTAATCCCCACGTGTTCAAACCCTTCAATTTGGAACTCCCTCGTGAAAAGGAAGCAAGACTTGCCCACGAAGCTGCAAAACGAGTTGATCATGTTCCCTCCATTATTAATGAGGCCTCGGTCCAGTTTCCAAAAGAAAAAACCAGCATTTTAGGCCCTGGTCCTTTGCATGAAGCCACGGCAGTAGCTACTGCTCCAATCACCATGCATGCACCTCAGTCTCATGTACGGCCAGGGGGGAAAAAGGGGTAACTTTTGCTCCTCAAACTACTGCATCTATGGAAAGGCAAGGAGTTCTCCCACAAAAATTGAATGCCATCACACCTAAGAGTGCTACGGCAGTAGCAGCTCCACGGCAGGGAGGTCCACAAGGCATGCCTAAATCTTCTTTTGCCCAGGCCGTGCCTGGTCCTTCAATGTCAGCACTTCAAAATCCTTTGCACAAGCACTCACTGGCTCCTCCAACCCAGGTATTTCTTTACGGGCCACTGCCTCCCGCCCTTCTGCCATCTTACCTAATGTCGTTGTTGAGGAAAAAATTCCTACTTTTCATAGGGGAACTCCCGAAGTTGTTTTTAAGAAGTCTGAAATGCAAAAACTTTCTCAATTGGATAATTTTCTTCTTATTGGTAAATTTTCACATGGTCGTCCTGAGATTGCCACATTAAGAAAGGTTTTTGATGAAAAATTTCTCCTCCGGGAGTCTGTTCAGATTAGTCATCGTGACCCACGCCATGTTATGCTTTTATTCACCCATCCCCAAGACTATAATGATATATTCATGCAAGGGCAGATTCAGTATAACAGACAATTTCCCATGAGACTCTTTAGGTGGTCCCCGGAATTTAACGTTAAAACTGAATCCTCCATTGCGCCGGTGTGGGTGACTTTTCCTAATTTGAGGGTTGATTTATTTAATGAGAGTGCCATCCACCAGCTTTGTAAGCCCATTGGGAGGTGTTTGAAAGTGGATGTAGCTACGTCTGCTTTTTCACGTCCCAATGTGGCTAAGGCCAGAGTGGAGATTGATCCGTTGAAGCCTAGGATAGAATAGATTTGGATTGGTTTTTCTGATGAGCCTGGCGAGGAGGATGTGGGCATGTTCCAGCCTGTGGAATATGAGCGCATCCCAAAGTACTACACGTCATGTTTTAAATAGGGTCACGACAATTCCTCGTGCAATACTTTGACTACCAGTCTGGCTGAACAGAGAGCAGTTGTTGTTCCCCAACCTTCCACGACTGCACCCACGAATACTCAACCTTCTCGATGGAGGCGAAGTAGGTGTAACGCCCTGCAACCCGGTCTATTAGAATTGATTAATTTAATTAATTAATTACTGTTCCGGACCGGGGTTGGGAAAATGAAAAGTTCTTAGAAAAATTATTTGATCATATCATTAAATTCGTCTTGACTGTCTGATTCCAGAAACGCAAACGGATTTCAATTCGGACCCGTTCGGGGGGAAAAGCGCGTACCGTTCAGGTCAGATTTTTACAATACGGAGTAAATAAGTTTTGTAACCTCCCTAGACCCTTGGTTCGGCTCCTTCAACACCCCCATCATTTCCAATTAATAGTCTCCTTAATCCACCATTAAAACCCCATCATTTCCTCTCCCTTCACACCCCATTTTGTAACCCCCAAGTATTCACAATCTCCACTCTCTCTCACTCTCT